GTGAAACTTTTTCTCTTGGGTAGGAGCTCCTTTGAGGCCAGTGGGTGAATGCCTGTGTACCTTATTTATATTTATAAATGTACTCCTCCAGAAAGGATAAAACCAACATTGTCGTTGTTGCACGTCTCCTACAAGGTAATAGTTGTGTTGTGGGGTTTAAGAATTCTAGGTTTGGCTGGGCACGGTGGCTCACGCCTGTAATCCCAGCATTTTGGGAGGCCAAGGTGGGTGGATCACGAGGTCAGGAGATCGAGACCATCCTGGTTAACGCGGTGAAACCCCGTCTCTAAAAAAATACAACAAAATTAGCCAGGCGTGGTAGCGGGCACCTGTAGACCCAGCTACTCAGGAGGCTGAGGCGAGAGAATGGCGTGAACCCAGGAGGTGGAGGTTGCAGTGAGCCAAGATCACACTACTGCACTCCAGCCTGGGCAACAGAGCGAGACTCCATCTCAGAAAATAATAATAATAATAATAATTCTAGGTTTATATTTGAATTAACTCATTTGCTGTGTCATATGGGTGCCACGGTTGTTTCTCCCCAAAGCAGGCTCACTGTGTACTGTTCCAGCTTGTCTGAGTATGATGAGAGAGAACACATTCATGCACATATTACATAAGTTGATTTATTATTTATAAAGGCATCAAAGATGAGAAGTCTAAAATTCAATGTGATGTGGTCCCCTAAGGTTCAGAGAAGTTGCCTGGAAGGATGGAATTTTGATTGCATGTGCCCCACTTGCAACACAGTTAAGAGACTCCAGAAAATAGCCCATCGCAGGTTTTACAGCCCAGGATCCCCTGAGCAAAGTGTTGAGACATTGTATTTCCCGTGAAGACTCTAAGTCTGGGCTGTTCTACCATTCTCTCCTGATTTCAGAATGCTGCATTCCCAGCACATTCTACACTTATTCTTGAGAACTGCAAGTAAGAAAGAGGGTAGAACTGGGCCAGTCCAATACAACTTGGAGGACAGTTCTCAATCCTTAACAGTGAGGGATCAGGATATTTGTTGTGATAGAAACATAGGCAGCAGCAGTACAGAAATTTCAGTGTCCTAGTGGCCCATCTGCTATTAGGTTTCTGGACCAGAGCATGACACATGACTGCTTTTCTCTTCTATGAAAACTGCTTCAGACGACCTTTTAATTCTCATGCAAAGGAGCAGCATTTGATTTATCGTTAGTGTGGGCAATCTGTGTGGTTAAAGAAAACAGTTCAGGAGTCCATCAACCGACATTGAAGACCACCCAATCCTCCAGTGAGTGCCATTCAATCTTGCTGGTGTTAGCAACATACAGTAAGGTCATTTTGACTAAGGCCGTCCAGGTTGCAAGGTTAGGCCTCTGGCATGCTGATCAGTAGTGCTAAAAGAAGCCCATACACTAGATGGAGGTTCTGCAATGAAAGAGGCTAATGCCAAATGCTTCTTCCCCTTTTCTTGACTCATCGTGCCTGGACCATGAGGCACCATGGATGTGCACCTCATCAGAAGAATGCACATAAAAGCAGCAGCACAAGAAGCACTCAAGGCCACTAGTCTTGCACAAGTCATCTTGTTAGACAATTAGGTGACATGCTTAATTCTCCCCAGCATGGGGACATTCCTCCTTTCTGCAACTTCACACACACAAAATCCCTGGTGCTGTCCCAAGTGTGTACAGTAATAATGTTCACATGGCTACTCCAAGCATCCAGTGATGGTAAGCAAACGAGATGCAGCTACCACAGAGCAACAGTCTGATTTTTGATAATCAGGAATGAAGAACTCAGTGGTGAAGGTGCTGGGTCACTGCCTCAATGTGGGGTACCTTGGAAACTGCCTGCCAAACACAGGTCAAGGTGGAACATACCTCCTGCTGGGGAATGGCCAGTTAACCAATCACATCTAGGAGTTGAGAGTTTTACTGTGGGACGAGGTGGCAAATGCTGATAACGCAAAGTGCTGTGTAGACCAAAGTGAAAGTCCATCATCAATTGCTGGTTCTCATTTGGGTGATTTCTGTTACATCATGGAACCAGTTAGACAAAAGCAGGTAGTTAAAGCTGAAAAGATATCATCAGTCATTGTTGGTTCATTCTGTTGGTAATGCCAGTTGTTTCCACAGTCTCATTGGTGACAGAAGAACTAGGACCCTAAGGCTACTGGGAAAAACACGTGACACCCATGACTGTACAGATAAGACTGAGAGCAGTTATCAGTTAGATATACTCACAGACAAAAGAGGGAGGGAACTGTCAATGAGGCTGATCCACACAGGACTTGCACTGGCGAGCAGACAGAACAAACAGGGTGTAAGGGAATGCTCTGTAGTATCTAGAACATGAGATGCTTCTTGGTTCTCATGAGGATGCAGCTGGTTTGCTTAAATGAATATGTGGAATGGTAGGCAACTGAAATATGTTAGACTACAGACTGGTGAGAACAAAATAGTATAATGCCATAATCCTGTAATATACAATTTATTGTAGTGCTAATTACATATAATATAAACTAGTTATGCAAAATTCATACTAACTTATAAAACTGTACTATACTACATATTACATAGCTATTTATACACATATAAGTATACATGTACACATTCTATATATACTAGATGATGCTATACTATATGGTATACTAGGGCACACCAATTTGACTATAAATCCAAAAGGCCCCAACAGTACACTAGAAAATTGAATGTATCAATATGGATTGAGTGTTTCTTATCTGAAATACTTGGGAACAGAAGTGCTTTGGATTTCAGACTTTAAAAATTTTTGGAATATTTGCAGAAAACTTTCTGGATGAGCATCCCTAATCCAAAAATCAAAATCCTCTAATGAGCATTTCTGTTGAGCATAAGGCTGATGCTCAGTTTTTGACTTTGGAGCATTTCAGATTTGGTAGTTGGAATCTGGGCTTCACAGACGTTCAACCTGTAGATAAAATACTTATATTCCATGATGAAGACAGATTTTACCCCAATGACCATATTTGTATCTGAAAGCAGTTAATGTGATAGACTATTAATACAATGCCAAAAACCACAAATCATCTCAATAGATGCAGAAAAAAACATGTGATAAGAGTTCAATACTCCTTGACCATGAAACAATAAATAAAAAACACAAGAAAACTTCCTGAGCCTGTGTGAGAATATTTCTGAAAAATCCACAATATGCTTGATGGTAAGACTGAATGCTTTCACACTCAGATTAGACAAGCATACTGTCCAATCACAGTTCTCGCTTCTTAATTCAAAGTAAAAAGTAGGTCAGGTATGGTAGCTCATGTCAGTACCCCCAACATGTGGAGAGGCTGAGGCAGGAGGACAGCTTGAGGCCAGGAATTCAAGACCAGCCTAGACAATACAGCGAGATCCCATCTCTGCAAAAAATTTTAAAAATTATATAATTAGCTGGGCATGGTGACATGTGTCTGTAGCTCCAGCTACATAGGAGGCTAAGGTGGGAGAATCACTTGGGCCCAGGAGTTTGCAGCTGCAGTGAGCTATGACTATACCACTACACTTCAGCTTGGCTGACAGAGTGAGATCCTCTCTAAAAATATAACATTTTTAAAAAAAGTGAACTATGCAAATAACAGCCAATAATGACAAAGAATAAAGGAAAGAAAATGAAAATAATACTGTACATGAGACTATATAAACTTCACATACATGCAAATTAATAACAATTCTTTATTAGCAAAGAAAATAGAAGAAAATCTTTATAACAAAAAAGTAGCTTTCCCATAAAAAGGCAGAATAAATATATAGATATATATACACACACACATATATATAAAATGGAGGAGAAATAACCAAAACTTGCCACATAAGATCAGTAAGAAATTTCCAACAATTAACAAGAACTCATTTTTCAATGGTCCATTAATCAGAGAACAATTAAAACAACCACATGGAAATTAAAATTGCCAACTATTAGAAATACATTTCAACTCAGTCTAGGGATCCAATACATTTTTAAATGAATAGACAAAAATTATGTTAACTGATGAGAAACAAAACAAAACACAGCCTATTAAGCTCATGTACGATGCTTATAAAGTATCTATGAAATTGTCAGCTCCATGATTCCTTGCAAAAAATTGAAAATCTAAAGTATAGACACCTTCTTTAACAATGAATCACTGATAAAAATATATTTGTAAGTGACTGGGAAAATTAAGTGCTTTAACACATTTTTGGTATTTTATGAGGTTCTTTCCCAGGATGGGTTCTTCTAAGTTTTAGAAGGGAACTAGGAAAATTGCAACATTCTAATCTTCCTTACATGTGTTGGATTTCTATTTTTTTTTTTTTTTTGAGACGGAGTCTGGCTCTGTCACCCAAGCTGGAGTGCAGTGGCTGGATCTCAGCTCACTGCAAGCTCCGCCTCCCGGGTTTACACCATTCTCCTGCCTCAGCCTCCCGAGTAGCTGGGACTGCACGCGCCCGCCACCACTCCCGGCTAGTTTTTTGTATGTTTTAGTAGAGACGGGGTTTCACCATGTTAGCCAGGATGGTCTCTATCTCCTGACCTAGTGATCTGCCCATCTCGGCCTCCCAAAGTGCTGGGATTACAGACTTGAGCCACCGCGCCCGGCTCTATTTTAAATTTTAAAAAAATTAAAAACTCTGTCGCCCAGGCTGGAGTGCAGTGGCACGATCTCGGCTCACAGAAACTTCTGCCTCCCTGATTCAAGTGATTCTCCTGCCTTAGCCTCCTGAGTAGCTGGGACTACAGGCGCGCGTCACCACGCCTGGCTAAGTTTTGTATTTTTAGTAGAGATGGGGTTTCATCATGTTGGTCAGGCTGATCTCGAACTCCTGACCTCGTGATGTGCCCGCCTCAGCCTCTCAAAGTGCTGGGATTACAGGCGTGAGCCACTGCGCCCGGCCTGAGTTTTTAATTTTTTCACGTGCTCTAATGAAACTAGAGTAAATGAAAGCTTTAACACACTTCTTACATTCACAGAGGTGTTTTATTGTTTTTTTTTTTTTTTTTTTTTACCACATATAAGCTCTTTCATGCTTTCGAAGGGAACTGGAACAACTGAAGGCTTTACCGCATTTCTTACATTCATAGGGTTTTTCTCCAGTATGAGTCCTTTCATGGCTTCGAAGGGCGCTGGAAGAAGTAAACGATTTACCACATTCCTTACATCCATAAGGTTTCACTCCAGTGTGAGTTCTTTCGTGCTCGCATAGGTTACTAGAATATTTGAAGGCTTTACCACACTGTTTACATGCATAGGGCTTTTCGCCACTGTGAGTCCTTTCATGGACTCTGAGGACTCTGGAACATCTAAAGGCTTTGCCACATTTTATACATTCATAGGGTTTTTCTCCAGTATGCGTTCTTTCATGTATTCCCAAGTAAGTGGAACGACTGAAGGCTTTGCCACATTCTTTACATTCATAGGGTTTCTCTCCAGTGTGAGATCTTTCGTGTTGGCGAAGAGAACTGGAAAAAGTGAATGATTTACCACATTTCTTACATGCATAGGGTTTCTCTCCAGTATGAGTTCTTTCATGTTCACGAAGATAACTTGAATAATTGAAGGCTTTATCACAATGTTTACATTTATATGTTTTCTCCCCGGTGTGAGTGCTCTGAGGCATTTGAAATACACTAGGAAAATCAAAAGGCTTCTCATACACTGGACCCTTATAAGGCCCATTACTAGTGTGTGTTACCATGTGTCTGTCAACACTGGTGAGAGAGATGAAGGCTTTCCCACATTGTTTGCATTGATATAACTTCTCTGGACATTCCTCACACTCCAGTAGTTTGTTTCCAGTGTGAGACAGGATGTGCCTATGAAGGGCTGAATGACATATGAAGACTTTTCCACACACGCTGCATTCACATGGTTTTACTCCAGTAGAAACTTCCTTATTCAGATTCAAATTTGAATCCTGGCTGAAGGTTTCTCCATATTGACTGCCTTCTTTAATTTCAAACAATCTCTCTACCACATGACTGCTGTAAAAATGATAAACACATCATTAATGGTACATTTATTCATGGTTTACATTGCTACTAACACCAGGGAAAATGCAAGTTTCTTGCCATGTCTAAATTGTTTTAAAGTAAATAAATTAATGATTGTTTAAGACATGGGCCCCCCATGGCTATTATCATTATTATCACAACTGTGATAGTCACATGTACAGTATTTTAGTGGTGTTTCCAAGCAAAATATTCTGAAAATACTGAACATCCATGTTACATTCAGGTGTGTTTTTTGCTAAGACTTTTCTGGAAAAAAAACAAAAAACAAAAAAAATTTCTAGTGGTTCTTATTTGTTTTGTCTGTTTATTATTATTATCATTATTATTATTATTTTTGAGACAGTATCTTGCTCTTGCTCTGTTGCCCAGGCTGGAGTGCAATGGCGTGATCTCAGCTCACTGCAACCTCTGTCTCCCGACTCCAAGCAATTCTCCTGCCTCAGCCTCCTGAGTAGCTGGAATTACAGGCACGCACCACCACACCCAGCTAATTTTTGTATTTTTAGTAGAGACGGGGTTTCATCATATTGGTTAGGCTGGTCTTGAACTCCTGACCTCACGATCCACCCGCCTCAGCCTCCCAAAGTGCTGGGATTACAGGCGTGAGCCACTGCGCCCAGCTGTTTTGTCTGTTTTAAAAACTTATGACATGCTAAGATTCCCTCAAGGGGCATTTTTTGCTCTTGTGAATGCAAATTACCTTAGATTTCTCCCAGGATTTTTGAAGTCATCTTGGATATTCTGGTCTTCTGATTTGTTTCCTAAAATGTACATCCATAAGATTATTACAAATGATTAGAAACTTGAAAAATTGCTAGATTCAAGGTTCACTATACACTGTGACCATGTCTAATTTTTTTCACCAAAGTACTCCCTTTTCACATGCCAAATCAGGAAACATTCATGACAAAGAAACACTTGTTTTTTCTTTTCTTTCTTTCTTTCTTTTTTTTTTTTTTGAGGCAGAGTCTTTCTTTGTTGGCCCGGCTGGAATGCAGTGGCTCAATCTCAGCTCACTGTAACCTCCACTTCCCGGGTTCCAGCAATTAACCTGTCTCAGCCTTCTAAGTAGCTGGGATTACAGGTGCTTGCTACCACGCCTGCTAATTTTTGTATTTTTTTAGTAGAGATGGGGTTTCGCCATGTTGGCCAGGCTGGTCTCGAACTCCCGACCTCAGGTGATCCGCCTACCTCGGCCTCCCAAAGTGCTGGGATTACAGGTGTGAGCCACCACGCCCAGCCAAAACACTTGTTTTTAATCAACTACATGAAAAAGTGTTGTTATTCTTACCTACGGAAGCCAGGTTCCTAAAGATTTCTTGCATCACATCTCTGTAGAGATTCTTTTGAGAAGGATCCAGCAAAGCCCACTCCTCCTGGGTAAAGGCCACAGCCACATCTTCAAATGACACTGAATCCTAGAATATCACACATATGCGGAGAGGAGGATGGCTTAGACAGACATGAAGAATCTATACTCATCTCATAAAATCGTAATATAATTCTGCAGACTTCAAACATTTCTTCCATGACTTGGTCATCAGAACTTTACTCTCTGTCTGCACTTACTGCTTCCCACTCAACATTCTTCATGCTAAAATGAACTATTCAGAAAGTCAACAGCACAGCAGGAACACCTTTCTCACTGGCAGGTGGAGGGAATAAACTGTGCCGTAAGAAATGAGGTCACCCCTAATTTCTATGTGTAGATTTTATCTTGAGGGCCTCTTATAAAAAAGTCATGCTATCTGTTGCGTATAACAGTTAGTGTTAAGTCTTAAGACTACATATCCTTAGAAATACCTGCTCACAAAGTCTGACCTTTTGGTATGAGAAAATAAGATTTTTTTGAGGGATCTCATCACCCTATGTGAACAATATGTAAACAATCTTATGCAAACAATATATTTATTATTCGCTGAACTCCAGCTTTGTTTTGTTTCTGAAAGCCTACTACTTTACTCCATTCTTGCAGTGGTACCTAGGGTATCAGCTCTGGAAAACACTCTGAGCATTAAGTCTCTAACGAGCATTCTTGGTAAACAGTATTTCTCATATGCTGTTATAACTTGTTAATTGGAGAAATGAGGCATCAATGTGATTATAATAAGAAAATATTTGGGCCGGGCACGGTGGCTCACGCCCGTAATCCCCATACTTTGGGAGGCCGAAGCGGGCAGATCACGAGGTCAGGAGATCCAGACCATCCTGGCTAACATGGTGAAACCCTCTCTCTACTAAAAATACAAAAAAATTAGCCGGGCGTGGTGGCAGCGCCTGTAGTCCCAGCTACTCGGGAGGCTGAGGCAGGAGAATGGCGTGAACCTGGGAGGTGGAGCTTGCAGTGAGCTGAGATCGCGCCCCTGCACTCCAGCCTGGGCAACAGAGCGAGACTCTGTCTCAAAAAAAAAAAAAAAGAAAAAAGAAAATATTTGGAAGCTTGCAAGTAGTTTACTCCAGACCAAATTAAATCTAGTTGTAAATAAGACTGATAATTTATCTTTAATAACACAAAACAATTTAAAAATTTCTATCAGATAACAACAAAGTGCAATGGAGTAAGCAGAAAGATAGTACATGTGCTTAGAAGAAACTCAATGTCATCAAGATATCACCTCTTTCAAAGAGCCTTAAAAAATTCCATCAATCCCCAAAACAGACACTTTATTAGCAACTGAAAACTACTTTTCCAAACCTAATAAAAAAAAAGTCTAAGAATTGTTAAAGTCTTCCAAACAATAGGGCAATGGCTTCCTCACCATGTATCAGAAATTTTCGAACTATAATTTTCAGGACGGCATAGTATTAACATGGAGATAAACAAATAGTCCAAAAAGCAAAAAAGTTTTAAATAAGCAGAAATTTTATATGTAAAGTTTATTGATGACAGAGCATTCCAGAACAGTGGAAGAAATCAAAAGCACTTTAGAGCAAACTGGTACTAACTGAAAAAGTACACTGCATTCCCCTCCATTCCATGAACAATAATCAAGTTCTTTATTTCAAACGTGAAAGACAAAACTAAAATACTTGCAGACTTCAAAGGAAAATAGGAGTATTTTTGGACAGAAAAATGGGCAGAATTCATTTAAATAGAAAAAAAATAAAGGAACTGACAAATTCACATATATTAATATTCAGGAAATTAAAAGGCAAAAAGCAGTGGGAAAAAACTGTAATACATGCTATATAAAAGAATTAGTATGAAGTGTAAAAATGAACATGATTGAAAAGTGAGAAAATAAGCAAAGCATACTTAAAAGAAGATGAAAGACCATCTATTTTTTAAAAAGTCAACTTCCTTGGTAATGAGAAAATAGAAAATAGGTGCCTGACATTTGAAATTTACTAGAAGAAAAAAGTCAACTCCATGTGACGACGGCCATGGCAAACGGGTTACTCAGGAAGAAAGGAGGAGTCAACTGATACTCTCCGCTGCTCTAATTTGAATTTACCACAATGTGTAGCCCATTAATTTTTCTAAAATGTCCAGAGAATTTACTGTGCATCTGCACTTAGAAATGTGGCATAAAATTATAGGAGCATTATTTTTCCAAAAAAGCAAACAAACAAACAAACAAACAAACAAAAAACTTGAAAAAGCCCGAACATCAGAATCATTAGAATGCACAGCTGAATTCAATGGTCCAGAGCCTCAGGCACTAGCATGTGTGCAACATAATGACACAAGGAAATCACCAAATAAACCTTTTTGTTTTAATTCCATTCATACTCATTTACAGAAAGTTCCAGTAAAGCAAAATGGAACTGAAAAATTACAGATGATAAAAATGCAAAAAAATAGCCAAAGAATCACAACAGTGGTCAACTAAGAGACAAGCCCAGGTGAAACTATCAGAAAACTCTTAAGGACTGTACGGGGCCCAGTGAAGAATCAAAGTTGCTTCAACTATTATTACTAAAACTCCTGACAAATGTTTTACTCATTCTTACTATATTTCATAACAGAAAACTTAAAAATTAATTAAAATTTAAAAGAACGCAATTTTTCTGTTTCTTTGCCTTATAACATGGTGATCTGAGTTGTGATTTACAGATTTCACAGAAATAAGTAAATCGAGCAGCACAGCTCACAGTGCTAGCTGCTTAGTGAGCAGCTAAAGTACATACCAGATCCCAGGCGGCAGAGCCGATTAGCAAGTCATTGCAAGAGAAGACAGAACCACAGGGTGGTGGGCAATGTCTGAACATTCTGCTAGTGGTACTAAGTGCGATGGTCAAGTGCAGAGATGTGTTTGGAGAGGGTAGGAAATTATTACTCAGAAAATTGACCCCTGTGGATCCATCAGGTCAGGCCTTTCAAGGTGGTTTGACATGGTTTGAATGAGGAAGAAAAGGAGCCAGGCCGGTGTTTTCTGTTGAAGGTAGGTGGAAAGCTAGGGTGAGAATTCAGTTTCAAGGTAAAAGATTTACATGGTTTCAATCTGCTGCCAAAACCCAGGGAGAGCACCCAGGCTTGTTTTCACCATATCCTGATGTGAGGTCAGAAGTAGAACAAAGAAAGTTTAGGATTAAAAGTTGACAGCAGTCAATTAAAATAAAAAGATGGAGACAGACACTTCTGATTTCCAGCAAGCAAGGCATAAAAGGCAATGGTCAAGCTTCCTGGGTTGAGTTCTGAGCTCCACGAAAATGTCTGACCCCACCAAGCTGCCTGAGCTATTTAAACGTTATTACCAGAGGCTCTTTCCCTATTCTCTGTACTGTAACTGGCTCAACTACAGCAGCGTGGTAAAGAATTACTCCCAACGCTGTGAATTTTCATTCACATTGAAAGATGACATTTACATTCGATACCAATCCTTCAACAACCAGAGTGATCTGGAAAAGGAGATGCAGAAAATGAATCCATACAAGATTGATATAGGCACAGTACATTCCCACAGACCCAATCAACACAATACAGTGAATCTGGGAGCTTTCCAGGCTCAGGAAAAAGAACTGGTGTTTGACACTGACATGACAGACTATGACAATGTGAGGAGATGCTGTAGTTCTGCAGATACATGTTCTAAGTGCTGTATCCTCATGACAACGGCCATATGCATCACTGACACAGCACTGAGGGAGGACTCTGGATTTAAGCATCGTCTCTGGGTATATTCCTAGAAGTAGGGGGGTATATTGTTGGGTCTGTGATAAATCAGAAAACTGTCTTCGGTGGTACATTCTGGGATAGTTGAGTATTTGAGCCTTGTAAAGCATGGTCAAGATGTTAAAAAGAAAGTTCAACTAACTGAAAAATTCACTCTTTTGTCAGAAAATCTATAAACATAATAAAAAAAACTTTGAAGACTATGCCTTGGTTAATCAAGATATTCTCAAAAATAACAAAAGCTGGGATAAGATTTTAGCCCTTGTTCCTCAAACAATTCAGGATGAACTTCAACAAAGCTTTCAAAAGTCTCACAATTCACTTCAGCACTGGGCGCACCAGCAGATGTCAGAACAACATCAAAAATGAAAATGTGGACCTGGCTGGAGTGGGAGATTATGCTCCAGGACTGTTTCCACGACGAGGTATCAATGTCAGCAAAGAAATCAATCATTTACCAAAGAGCCCTTTTAGTGTTCATCCTAAAACAGATCGCATTTCTGTGCCTACTGATTTGCAGAAAGTGGATCGGTTTGATCCACTTACTGTTCCAACCATAAGCCTCATCTGCCATGAACTGGATGCCTCTTCCACTAATCAAGAGGAAAAAAGGAGAATTAAGCTGAATCTGATATTAAACATAGAACCAGAGATTGTAAGACCAGTCTGGTACCTTATGTGACAGTTTTTGAACAATTTCTTGAAAACCTGGGTAAACCCTGAAAAAGAGAACTTCTTAAGAAGAGTGATTTACAAAAAGATTTCGGAAGACAATGCTCCTCAAACCAATGTGGGTATCTTCTGCCTTCAACCAGGATCAAATGCTCCAAGAGCCATTTAACAAATACAGCAGAACTACGTATGTGTCTTAATGCTCAAAGTAAATTTTCCTTTGCTTGAGAAATAATTTATGTTGAAAAGATTTCCTGAGACCACCAAAGGAAAGTGTCAAGGTTCATGGAAGGAGCAATAAAAGGAGAAATAATTGGGAAAAAAAAAACAAAACAACCCAACAACCAAAGGCAACATTCGGGCTATTATTAAAGAGTCTTTAACAGATGGTGGTAAGGTAGCGCAGAAAATGGAGCACCTACACACTGCTGGTGGGAATGCAAATTAGTTCAGCCATTGTGAAAAGCGGTTTGAAGGTTTCTCAAAAAACTTAAAACAGAACTACCACTTGACCCAGCAATCCCATTACTGGATACAGACCCAAAGGAATATAAGTTGTTCTACCAAGAAGACACATGCACCAGTATGTCCATCACAGCACTATTCACAATGTCAAAGACACACAATCAA